TTTTTATGATTATGCAAGCAAACGAGCTGTCTGTCCAACTGATGGTAAGTGGTCACTGCCACCCATGGACACTGGCAGCATTAAGGGTACCTCTCGTACATTGCCGGCTCTGAAGGAAAATGTTTACCCGCCTTTTAAAGATTGCCATATCTTAACTGGAAGGAAAAACCGCTGAGAGGAGTAGTACATTGCATATCTTACTAAATTATAAAAGTAAAATGTTATTCACTTATTTGTTAGCGACTCAAGACGTAAAGTAAATAAAGTATTTTCTTTATGATTATGCAGGCAAACGAGCTGTCTGTCCAACTGTTGGTAAGAGGTCACTGCCGCCCCTGGACACTGGCAGCATCAAGGATACCACCCGTACATTGTCGGCTCTGAAGGAAGATGTTTATCCGTCTTATAAAGTTCGCCATATCATAACTGAAAGGAAAAACCGCTGAGAGAAGTACATTCCATATCTTACTGAATTATAAAAGTAAAATGTTATTCACTTAATTGTTCGCGACTCAAGACAATCATGACATCTAGGCATGTCATACTTAGGTGCGACAAAGTGTTAGATTTGGCATATGCCTATATGAAATACACAAAGCTATATAGGTTTGTTAATACCCATAACCTATATATGTTTGTGAATTTCGCCTTTGACTTAAAGTATATTGAAGCCTATAGGTTTTTTTTTTAAATCACAAGGTATAAATTTACATCTAAAGTTGTATATAAAATATACAGATAGTTCTTGATGAATTTACTTATATATTTATCAGTATATGTATTCTATCCGTTACACAAGTAACCCGTAACACAAGCCTTTCAGTGCTTACTTTGGGCTAGGTGGTGGTAGGGGCGAACCTGAAAAAAAGCTGAAAAATCTATAATTCATGTATATGTCATTTTCAGGCAATCAGGTGGTCTAAAACCAATAAATAACGGGGCTGAATTGTCTATTGTTTATCGCTTTCTGCCGCGCTTTCATTTTATTGTTGACACAAAGAATTTAATGACAAATTAACAGTTTAGCTTTGAAGGGGATATTAAAAGAGTCAAAGTTGGAATTGATTCACTTTTCAGCTTTAAAATAAAAAGACATAGTCTATCTATGAAAGTTTGCGAGTCAGTGCTCCTCATCATGTTCTGATTACTAAATTACGTATTTATCTATGTATAATGTTCATCGGAATTGAACCGTAAAATATATACTTATAAAAGATACCTAATAGTAGAAAATTAATAAATCGTTGAAATAGATTTTAAGTATTAGAAACTTCGTAGATTTTTACTATAAGCGAATTGACGATTGAGCGATTTGAATGAAATTGAGATAATAAATTAGGAACCTACCTTTTTTGATAAAATTCAAATATACTGTACACGTCTACATTAAGAAAAAACTTGGGACAGTTACAAATCATTTGGTATTCCATTACATTATACACTAAGGCCCACTTGCACCAAAATTCTTAATTCGAACTCAGTTTTAATCATGTTTAACACATCATCCAATCTATGTCAATTGTTTAAAGTCAAAGAGAGATAGAATGAGGCTTAAACATGATTATCTTTTAAATTTGAATGAGGAATAATCGAATTCACTTTTAGCTTTAAAACCCAAACTTTCGTTATAAAGTTTCGCTAAAACGTTATAGGCGGGATGTTACACAAGCTAAAAACTACATTTCCTCTCCCGCACACAACCTGAAGGAGGTCGGTCATCTTAGCCGAGAACTTGATGCTGGGCGTCATCGGCGCGTAACCGACCGACTCGTCTCGGCTCGGAGCGTTGCGCAATATACCACACGCCGATGCTCCAATGCACATTTTATACAAGCACCAACTCAATGAAAAATCCACCTAATACGTACCCTTTTCTACCTGTTTGAAATACCATACATACATTCATTTATTTATTATTATTTTACGAGTAACAATATTGGGAATGGTAACTTTCTATATTAATGCAGAAAGAAATATCGGAGACTCGCTTTAAACAAGATACATGGTAGCAATCCTCTAAATAAGTTAAATTTCTATAAGGTTAGTGACCATGAATGTTTAAAATAATATATAGGAATTATACCTATTAAAAGTACCTATTTTATTTTGCTATTACTATTTACTATCACAAATTCACTACCGTTGTTGAACCCTTCTCAGGAGATGTTTTGCCCCCCTGTGTGTTCTACCGCTTGAACTAAAGAGTACTATGCAGAAATATTTGATATTATTGCCCAAAGTCACCTCTTTTGAAAATCATAAGAAAATTATTTAAAAAAATCTACTTTATTCAGCATTCAAGTAAAGTCTTGTGCTTCAACCGTAACAGTAATGTAACGAAGACGGTAAAGACTTTTTTATTTACTTGCATAATTATAGGACGGAGTTCATTAAAAAGCAGCACAAAGCTTCCATTATGTTAAAAAGCTTATTAATAGAGTTTCTCTTGTGTTCGTCTTGAATTGATCATTGACCACACATGCTATAGGTAATAGTAGTAATAGTAAAAAACTAAAGTTTATAGGTATTTCGCGATTGTTTATCATGTTGCTAAGTTATACCAACCTATTTATTACAAGTTATTTATATTATCTAACACTGAATCACACAATTTTTACCCCACTGGGCTATTATTTTTGCCTTTTTTGTTTACTTTATATGGATGTGAAAATACCACATTAATCAATGCTTTCTAGCTATGGTAACAAGATATTAGCTACTAATGAGCATAACACATTAAGCTGGTGATAAGCTTATAAGCATTTTAAATGTAATCTGTATCAGTTTCAAGCGCCTAAAAATAATAAAATGAAGGAAATTCGAGTAAACATATTTTACGTGAGTTTATGCACAACTTTCGTAGGCAGTTTTAACCATAGTACAAAAAACAATTTAAATATAACATTGTGCACGTTTTTTAGCACAGACGTTTTTTAACTTACTCGAAACATTATCCACAAAAAATGTGTTGTTACTAACGCGAAATCACTTCCATTTTTTATTGAAGTTAAAAAAGTAAACAGCGACCATTTCGGTAGCGGGTTACAGTTTTGTTTTATTTATTGTGTGTTCGGATCAACTCGTTCGCACTTTATGGCATCGTTAGGTGCATATTTTAATAAAATTTGATTTATGATCCCTAAAATTGATGTTTTTATTATAGATAATTTTATTTTATAAACATCAACTTTAAGGTTAGGTAGTAAAAGATAACCTTAAGCCGTTATATCTCAGAAAAGATTAGTCAGAACATTTAGTACAGGTACCTACATTATTGTCAAAACAAAAGGAATCGACAGAAGGTTTTCGTATATGCGCATTTTAACTCGTTAAAAAAAAGGTAAGAATCTATACCGTTACCTTCAAAATCCTTATTTTTTGTTCTAGAAATGCACACGAGATTTAAAAACCACGGGCAAGGTGCCTACGCAGAATTGCAAAAACTTAAAAAAACTGCTTAAACTCGTATTCTCGGGATAGAGGCTTGAGGGTTGAACTGTTTGCATGTAAAACCAGACATAATCTCTTCTCTGAAGATAGCTAGGTATACGAATTTCTATTGTGAACAGCAAACAATTTTCACGGCTCATTTCATTAAGTTCCTTCTCGTGTCTGTAACTGAAATGTAATATACTTGTACCTGTTGGATATTTCCATGAATATGTTTGCTGAGTGACAATGATTATTTATACCTTTTATTTATCGTCACTTCCGTCAAAGATCTAAGGATATATTACTCTAAGCACAGGATGTAGCACATTGATCAAAATAAGAAGGAAGTTCTTTTAATTGTAAGTGATTGAAAACGTTAAAAATAATTTACGGAATTGAGCTTCGCTTAACACGAATATCGTGTATTGAGCTTAAGCTTTTATTTGTGAAAGCCAAAAACCAGCAATGGTGTAGGTTTTAGGTGTTAAATACTTCATAACTTATTCCTAATCGTATTATGTTTGGTAAGGAAACAGAAAATTAATAACATTATAGTTTTTCTGCAAGATTTAAAAATCCTGAGTTGTTTTCTGTTAGTGAAATGTAATTTCCCAAGAGCTTGTATTGAGATAAAATCATCAAAATAAAGGAACAAAACCAAGTGAACAATCTTTTTTTTTGAAAACAGCGACGACTTGGCGTCATTAAGTCCGCATGTTGGGATACCAAAAGCAAAGGAGCCGACATTTCACTGCAATAAACTAAACAAAAAGATTTTAATTTCAATATGCAAACTGTGCACAAAGACCACCGTAAACTTTAATGTCTTTGCTTTATAGGCTTCCCCATTGTTATGAGGGTACCATACCTCGAAATATTTCAGTATTCCAATTTTGTATTGTTTTGTAAATACATATTAACGTTACCGGCCATCGATAGTGAGGCTTTTTTATACTTTGTACAAAAAGTTTAGTAAGTAATATACATACAATAAAATATTCAAAAACTTGATGTAGTCCATGACAAAGTCCCATAAAAGACTCGCCTTATGTTTTAACAATTCGCTTTAAATTTAATCTCCTCCTCATCGTCTAATAAATTGCAGAAAAAAATATCATATAAATAACTTACAATTAAAATAATTACAATGATAAATAATACTATTAACCGTGGCAATACAAACAAAACACATCATAACGTCATGGTAACGGGAATATTTGTAAGCGTTTCTCCATCAACATACCTAATTTGTGTTGAAACGAAATCGAATCTTTATTTGTAAATAAAAATAAAATTATTAAAGAAAGAGGGGAAAAAATAGGACAAACAAATCTGAGTGAGGTATTGTGTTTGAATAATGATGGGACGTCTATACACGAAACAGCACTTTTACTGAAAATACAGGAATGTATACTTGTGTAAGTGCGGAGCGGAGCCTGGTTGGGGCGTGCGCGGGCGCAGGGGCGACGACGGCGCCGGCCGGCGCGGGCGGGGGAGGGGGGGGCGGGGGCGGACCTGTTGAGGCAACGGTGTCGCAGGCACCGCACACTGCTCTCAGTCCTTTCGTAGCGGCCAACGGTACCGCATGTGCCGCTAGCTGCTCCGCAGAAAACAAACAACGTGAGGAATTCTACCGTGCAGTGTGATACGATGCTGACTTGTGTTTTTTGAAAGACAGTGACAAAGACGAACAGGATCGAGTGTAGTGTTAACAACGCCTCAAAATGCCGAAGATCTTTCTCATCAAGAAGCGGCTGCATGAGCAGCAACTCGGGCTGCAGGAGGGTCTGGAGTTGCTAGCCAGCAAGACAGACCCACTTTGCACAGACTCCCCCCTCGATGACGGACCCATCCCCCTTCTCATCAGGAAGGACAGGGAATGTGCCGGTAAGCTACCCTCTTTTATCATTTCTTTTTCTAGGTCTCATCTTGTTCTCTGATCATAAAAGAACATCGAAGTTCTCAAACAACATGTTGACGAAACTACGTCACATCTTATTAACTGTCTTCGGCTTGAGCTACGTCTTCACTTATCTCATTCAAGAACATTACTTCAAACCGTTCATGCATCACTGTTTATTTTCCTGCATCGCCATTTCAAATGTAACGCTTGTTTTATTTTTTGTCAGTTCCACCATAACGGCCACTTGTTGAGAAAAAAAAAGTTGATCGCACTTGGATACAATCCTGTTCTTGCCACGGCTAAAGTCCACCAACAAACGCCTACCTGAGACCATTTGTGTGACTTGCGTGATCCTAATCCCCCGTTTCTTTTGTGAAGAGATTTACATACTTCAATGTTTGTGGTTCTTTCAAATTTAGAATTTGTAAGAATATAATTATTCGAATAGACGGCACTGTAGCTAGTCTTTAGATGTACAATTATAGCTAATTTTGTTTCATAAAGGAACGTAAACAGTCCTCGTTCAGCGACCGTCAGTGTACATTTTAACGGTTCAGGTAGTTTGGTAGTTACAGTATGTGAATCATTATTATAACTGTCATGTTTCTGTGCATTCCGACCAATTGTTTGCTATCGTCTATGTGCTAAAAAATCCTTTCCGACGGACGTTATGTTAACTAGACGCCGTTTTTTGTCAAGGATAAAATAACAAGTTGGCTAGGCACACTCAAAACCTTTTTGCGGTTGACTGATGTTATCAGCAAATGTTTATGTGACTAGAATGAAAAATAGAGTTTGAAGGATTGTAGCTACGTGACTTACCTACGTAGCAGTCGATGTAACTGTAATAAAATTATACTTATAAGGTAGCTTGGTATCCTCAGATGGATAGGACAGACGGAGAGGACATAGAAAAGAAAAGCCACTTTTGAGTATAAATTTTGCTCATGTTTCTTTATTAAAAACATCATAAGGATAGTTCATTTAGCTTTAGAAAGAGGCCCTACTTATCATTATGAAAATGGTGGATCAAAAGCAGGATAGGTACTTCTGAAATCTAACTGTAGCACGATCTAATTGGCTCGTCGCTAGACAGGAATTGACCGGATGATGTAGGCACAGAGGTGTCAATGGTTGCGGCACAATGGCGCCGCTTCCGGCGCGTCGGCCATAGCTGCCCGCTTTGTATTTAGGTTAGTCACCGCAATCTCCACTGCCATTTCAATATAATTAACATGTATGCTGTATGCGTGTCCCGTATTTGCATAAAGTTTGCTCTCTGTGTCACGATGGTTACACAATGCGACGCTCATTCGTTTGCTTCTTTAAAGAATACACCGATGTCAATATACCTTTTTTAGACTACAACTGTCGAATTACCATTAACTACGCCCATTGTCTGGTTGTCTTTTAAACTAGACAAAATTAAAATAGAATAAATAAATATAGATTTTTGACTCAGTTTCACAATAGGGAATATGCATGTAACTCAAATATGGCAACTCTTTTAATTTTGAATATCCATCAATATTTAAAAAAAACTTTAAATATTTGAAACATGTGGGAGCGGTTGTGACGTAGAAATTCATAACAACACTCACAGGATATGTCAAAGTCAACGAGACCTAGTGCGAGTGCGTATTGCGCGCGCAGCTAAACTGACGACTGGTTCGTTATGTTGCTATTATATGAAAATAATATTTACGTATTCAAAACGTTTGAAGGCATTTATCCTAAAAGTAGTTTTCCTAGCAAATTATTATTGTAATTGACCTACACAGTTTTGGAATAAAAAAAAACTGCTATAAAATCGATAGAGTAAAGAGTAAATTACAGGTGCCAAGCAACCTGTGGGCAAAAGGGCACGAGTTCGAAGGACGTAGCCACAATACATGCAAAGTGCATTTTGTAAAACGAAACATCATTGGGGGAAGTTATGAAGGGTCCTGCTAAACTTTAAACAAATTCATTGTTCAAGAACCGTTTTAAGACTTGCTCGAATAAAAGAAAATAAATGGTTCCTCCCATTGCATATAGAAATATCAAAAACTGCTTTTTGTAACGATTGAAATAGGTAAAATATACATAATGCAATCCCGAGTTGATACTCTAGTCTAGATACCGAAATTAATTTATAATACAAAAGACATCAACGGGCTACGCAGGAGATCAACTGGAACGCATCTCTAATGTGCACTTAATTTCGAATGTAATAAGGTTGCTTATACACTTGACGCTATAAGTAATATCAATAAATATGATTATATAACAATAATAACAGTTTATATGTGACCTTCGTTTGTCTTAAAAACCGTTACAATGTTAATTAATTCAAAAGCTATTTTGAATTAAGATTCGAAGCAAGGTTCTGTATTTTTTTCCTTATCTGAACTTGTTCTGCGAATAGATATTATTATAAACGTTAATTAAATCATAAATGAGGAGCTGGCGAACAAAACGGTATAATTACATAAAATTAAAATTTTCAGGAGTAGTAATAAACTGAATTATACAATGAATGACTGTAAGAAAAAAGTTTTTTGCCCGGATGCGTATCATTATACATATGAAATAAAGGAAGAATATTGTTTCTTCGTTATTTTTGTGATTTTAGATAAAGGTCATAAGTAATAATAAGTAACTGAATTAAATCAGGTGCACTATTGATGACGCAATGAAACATTCAAGCATCACTTAGTGTTTTTTTTAATTATAAAGTTTTAGTTACTTACTTTGTTTTTTGATCGAACAGTTGAGTCCTGAATTCCATTATTCAAATGTCGTCACGTATTTGAAAAATATCTACATCCAACGAAAACGGCAAATATTTTATGAATGTCAAATCCATGGAACTCTTGAATAAATGTGATCATTTATAGAAAATATTATACATCGAATACTAATTCTAAAGATTTATTTAAAGTTGTCAAAGCTACTTGAAGGACACATCATTATCATCATCAACCCATGCTCGTCCACTGTTGGTCATAGGTTTCCCCTAATGCACGCCACTGCTTCTGCCACTCTCATCCAGCCCACTCCAGCCAGCCTAAGAATGTCATCATCCCATCTTGTCTCAGGGCGTCCTACACTACGTTTACCGAGTCGTGGTCTACACATGAACATCAATTAGCTAATGCGCACCTAATATTGACATTTATATTAGGGCCAAGGGTTCCTGCAATGCTTGCTCGCGTATAGTGTGGATAATTAATATGATTATCAACACAAAACAGAGGATGAATTTATCTGAATACCTGCATCATAATATATACATATATATCATACATACATATATCATATGGTCATGTGGTTCTGCAAAGTATGTAAGTGATTATAATTATATAATATACATATATTAGAATTATTAAAAACTATAATCGAATTTTGTAAACTCCTTCTCTAGTAAAACATTACATTATTCGTGAGTTCCCGTGCAAAGAGTAGTGAAAAGTAAAATCAACTATATCATATTTCCAGCAGAAACTAACAGAAAATAAAAAAGTACATAAGCAGTAATAATACTTCGAACTGATACACCTAACCTTCAACTCAGTATTCGCTAAAGTTTTTTCAAAAAAATTAATAGCATTGATCATTCTCTCAAATTAAAGATGCACTATAACATTGTCCGTGGACTCCTGGAATCAAGTAACCACCGATGTACCTATATTATTCGAAGTTAGAACAACAAAGAACAAAATATGAATAAAGAAATTACACAGCAATCGTTATCGAATGTTTCTACTTCAGAACAGTAAAAATCTGCATCCTTATGAATGCCAAAAAAGAAATGTTTTACACCATGTGGCCCATTGTGTTCTCCGCTATTGTACTTTTAACCTTTTTAGGAGCCACAGTCATAAAAATCAGATTACGCCTCAATATAGGTTTGGCTAAATCTTTTCTTGGAATTGCTTTAGTGCAAGGTTCATTAAGAGATACTGTGAACAACGGTTTTTTCGTAAAAATTTACGCTGTCCGTGGTATTTTTGCAGTTCCATTGGTTATGGACTAGATTTTGTATATAGAATTGTTGTCTGTTTCTGACAAATTTTAAATGAAACGAACAAATAGGCCATATGGCCAATGATAGACAATGAGCAAAATTGTGGCGCAGATTAAAGTAGTGATATGTAATATCTCTTATCTATTAGACAAGTCCGTCCGTCCGTCCGTCTGTGGTGCTGTTTCAGCGGCCAAACCGTAAGAGATAGATAAAGAGAATGTTTAAGTTATAAGTTAAGAATAGTCTGATAAGACTACAAACCGGATTTGAGTAACGTAGCACTTCCGGTTTTCGAGAAATCACGAATTTCAAATGAAACCACACAAAATCTCCGAAGTTCTCAATTAATTAAATACATTTTTTTTTAAATCAGGTTTTGGTGAACATTTGGTTCACTGGTTTGCTAGTATACTATAATGAACAGGAATGATAATGTTTATAGCTTGTAGTAAGAAAAGGAAAATAAGTTCTACTTTATGTTACAACAAAACAAAATGCAATGTAATTGGAGGATTGTTCACTATTCAAATGCCAGTAAAATTTTGCATCATCAAAATTTAAAATTTCATCATTCAAACTGGAGACATAATACAACTCTTATGAATCGTCCATATTATTTTCCCTAATGTCTAGTGTCATAAGAATTGAGGCGTTCAATTAAATTGACAAAAAGTATTTCTAACATTACTTCAGCTATATTTATACGAAGATAACTGTAAACGATAATGCAGTTAATATACTGTTAGTTGAGTTTTAATGTGCGCAAATTTACCGGATACTTTTATAATTACCTATAATAAGGACGTTAAAAAGTTTTCGTTACAGATTAATGTGTTCATCTTTCTGTTGACTCAAATTATGTTAGCCGAATAAGGCAATTTTTACTTTAACCTTTATAAAAAATAAACTGCTTTTGTAAACGTATTCAATTATTTATCTATTTACTAGGAACAAGAATAATTTTATACTGCCTTT